AGAAGGAAATTTGAACGAAAAAATGCTTTTAAATATTAAATGCAGCTTTTTTTATTTTGTTTTATTATTATATTATTATATTGATTATCTCATTGACAAATATTTTTTCAAAATAAATAATTCTATTTTTTTATTTTTTCTCCAGGTTAAAAGTGCTTCTTCATTTTTTTGTAATAACTTGGTAGGACTAATAAGTGTATTTTGTGTTACTTTTCCGTAAAACTAATATTTAATAAAAGTAAAAAAAAAACAATGCTTATCTATCAACATACATTTATGTGATATAAAAGAAAATATATATTTGTATATATATGTATATATATATATATATATATATATACGTATATATATATATTTTCACATATACGTATATATACATAAATATATATAGATAATTGTCGCATATCCATATAAAAATAAACTTTCCTTTTAAACATAAAAACATGAAATTCTTAAAAAAAAAATATATAAAAATGCTTTAACTTACATTATTCTTATATCATTTTCTGTATACTTTTACAGAGCTGTAAATTGCAAATATATACATAATTTTTACATAAGAAAAAAAAAATTTTTAGCCAAATAAACACATATACAGTCGAATTTCTATATATTACCAATTGAAATACTTATTGCTCAATAAATTTCCAAATTTAAAAAAAATTGAAATATATTCGGAATTAGTATCAGTATTCGCTCAAAATTCTGATTTTCTATCATTGCAACATACTCAAATGATGTATTTTAAGATCACAATATTCAATATTGTTTTTTTGATTTTATTTTTGATAATGCATTTAGTATACACAAAAAGTGAGAAAATTTAATCAATTTTTTAAATCAATTTCTCTTGTTTTAAAAATATTTGTCGATTACAACTGCAATGATGTGGAATATTAAACTTCATACAAAATAGTTAAAAACAAAAACCATTTTGATATTTTTTTATCAAATGTTAAAGTTTAATTGAAGCAACTGTACTTAATATTTACTTAAAACTAAATCTCATAATTTTTGTTCAAAAAATATTTTAAATAAAATATCAATCATAACTATGAAATTTTTCAATTACACACCAACCTAAATTACACTTACAATCTAATTGTGTATCTTACTTTTTCGTCCCGTTTTTTATTTACTTTCAAATCAAAATTTTCATTTTTTTAATTGAATATGTCATCTTAGCAATAAGATTATTCAATTTTTCAATAAGATTTTCCACTCTTTCTAAAAATATCAATTGAAGTCATAACCTTCAGAAACAAAGTCAATTAAGTTTTTCATTCAAAAATTTTATTATACAAATATTTGATAATCGCACTTAATTTCTTCTCACAAAGCCCAGTAAAATTACGAGATACACGATCACGTTTATTAAGATAACACAACAACCTTAAAGACGGATTTTTGCATTAAAGGTTGAAATTCTTGTATAAATCAGTTAAGATAAATACAAAATCTTAACTAATTTAAAATAATATTATGTAAATTATTAGAAATTCGTCTGTAATTAAATATAAAACAAAATTTAATTTTTACACCAAATTTTTTTTAATTTTTTAACATGAAATATTTGTGATGCTTTTTTTTTAGGAATTTGAATGGAAAAACCGTTGTGAGTGTAATAAAATTAATATAACACAAAAAAAAGCATGAAACTATATAAAAATAAAAAAAAAATTTATACTGTTTGCTACATAACTTCCGTTATTATATTTATATATATATATACATAAAAATGTAATTTTCTTCTATATAATTGCAATATTCTGATGCTAAAGTCTATATATAAATATATTTTAAGCTATAAAAGTTATTAATGTAATTATTACATAATTACATATCTATATGTATTTGTTAGATAAATATGTAATAATTTATTTTTTTTTTCTTGAATTTATTATATTTAAAAATAATTTTGTAATTTAATTATATATATGTATATATATACATATATTTATATATATAGTGGAAATATAGTGTGAAGTGAATGGCTTTTTAATTAATAGATTTTTTAAATAAATAAAATTTTTACTAATAAATCTATACAAATAAACAAAAAAATCAAAAATACATATTAACAAACTTAAAAAAAAAAAATAGCAAATATTATACTTTCACACCTCTAACAACATGACATTATTAAAAAAAAGCAACCACAATACACACAGCAATTTATTTATATTTATATATATATATATATATATATATATATATATATATATATATTAATATTATGTATATATATATATACATATATACACACATTTATAAGAAACACCTACCAAATAATACTATATATGGCTTTAATTTTGCACGAGTGACACACTTTAAAATACACAGCGCCTCCTATCTATGAACACGTAATTTTAGATACCAAAAATATACAAAAAAAAAAAAAAACTATTAAAACAACAAGTTTTCAGCTAATTTTTTTGCTACTTCCGATATTATCATCTGTATTGGCAAAATAAAAAAAAAAAACTCAAAATTATTTAAAATATAGTAAGGCTTTCGACGTAGTGAGTATAATCTTATAGTTTGGTAAGAGTTGGTTAATAATTGGCAAATATTTTAAAAATATTAAAATGCTTTTAAAAAAAAAAACTCATTTTATAAAGAAGTTTATTTAACATTTTATTAATTGTTTTTCTTTTCTTTTTTTTTTTGAATTTTTTTATTGCAGAGCTTTTTTAGATCCGAAGAGAAGAAATGCTTTGGCTTTTATATAACATATTTGAAAATGCATTCACTAATGATGTTTTTTTTTTAGGAATTTGTGCTACTTTTTGTTTTTGGCTTTTTTTCATCAAAAAAAAATATTTGTATAATTAATTTTTAATTTTTTCAATATTGTGACATTTATTATTTTCTTTTCTTATTAAAACATGCGCTAAAATATTTTTTTTTAATTTTAATTTCTGCATTTGAACTATCCTTAATACAGCTTTTTTTAGCAAAATTATATTTTTCCTTATTTATAATTTCTATAAAATATCACTATTTATAATTTCTATAGTGCAATTGTTTTTGCTTATGTAAACTTGTAAACTTATAAAAATTGTTGAAATTGAATCAATTTTGTAAAGTGACGTAAAAATTATCAAGTATAAGCAAAAAAAAGAACGAAAACCTTTGAAAAACATTCCTTTATTTTCATCTCCTTTACTCTTTATTTAATTGATCTTAATATCATTTTATTTAAAATACAGTGAACATATTAAAAATAACGAATTTCTTAAATAAATTTTATAAAAATTTATTTTATTAAATATTGAATGTGATATTATTTTGTATAATGAGATTTATTAGTTAAATTGTGTATAACATAAATAGAATTAATATGTTCCAATTTTATTCAATTAAACAATTAAATAGGTTATTGAAAGTTCAAAAACTTTAAACACAATAAAATCTTTTACAAATTATTTTTTCATGTTAAAAATTTCTTGTGTATACTAAGCCGTCAATATATTTAATAAAACGAACTCCTTGTTATATTTACTAAATGAATCAGTTTTTCGTATAATTAGATCATGCGGTTTTTTCGTTCTAAAAGGAATTATTTTGTATTATTAAAATCCCAAATTTTAAAAACTAGTCATCATTGTTTTTATCATTCACTTTTTAGTAAGTGATATTTTTGATGTCATCATTAAGAAACTAACTGCCAAAAATAGTTGCTATGCAATGGCGTTTAATGTAAATTATAATTGTGGTATTATATGTAAAATGACATTTAAATGTAAATTACAAGTTTATATGGAAACAAATTTGGTGTTATCATTAAAAAAAAAAATGGTATAGCTATTTATCGTTCATTAATATTTTCTTTCATGAAAGGTAGTTGTTGTCTTTCACACATGATGACAAGTGCCTACGTATATCTTTGTTCCTTCAAACTTGAAATCTAGTCTATACTTGAACTACCAATAACCTATTTTTTATAATATATTTTAAATAAATCTTAACGAATACTTTCTTCTTATTCTTATTTTATTTTCATATAAAAAAAAAAAATTTTATTTTGCTTTTCTTTACATACAAAAAACTTTAATTGCATGCACCGGAATATTCTTACTTTTAACAACAACAAATTACTAATTCAAAAATTGAAAAAAAAAATTTTTTTCAAACTCAATTTAAATTCTAATTTCTTCGCACAACAACAACAACATTAATAATATATATGGACAACAAAACGTGTATTTTAACATCTCATAAATGGATAACGATTTTCAACGTTTGGATTTTTTTTTACAAAAAATTACAAAATTTAATTTTCTTATTTAATTACCATAAATTAATTTGGAAAAAATTGAAAAAAAATTAATATACATATGATAAATACTAACAATACTTCATTTTAAATGAATAAAACAAAATTGATATATTAATTATTATAAAAATAACAAAAAAAAAAACGAAACAAAATTAACTTTTAAATCTAATTCCCTTGTTTTTCTTTCGTAACTTCTTTGCTTTAATTTTTTTTCAAAACTATTTTAAATTTTGCATGAAAATTCTACTTAAAAAAACATCTTATTTAATTGCATGATTATGTCACAATATTGTTTTGCATTTTTTTTTAACAAAAACTCTACTTATAAATAAATATAAAATTTTTAAAATATAATTTACACTTAATTTATAAATAAAACATATGTACATACATGTAAAAAAAAACAATCTCTAACCGTAATAAATTCTTTTTAATGTATTTTTTTTTTCCAATTTTTAATTGTAAAAATTAAAATAAATTCGCTTTAAAAATTTTCTTGCCATTTGTTGATAATTTTTTTTTTTTTAATATATAATATTGTATAATTCTTCATTCCTCAATAAATAATAAAATAATAACATTCGAATTATCAATTTGTCATATTTTTCATGCAATTTGTAATTTTTCATACTACAAAAAAAAAATTTATTAATATTTTTGTATTTAAATTGAAATCATAACAAAAAATGTAATTGTTTTAATAAAAAAAAATTTTTAGCCACTAATAATAAAATTCCTTTAAATGCTTCTTATGTTATCTACACTGATGCAAATGGACAGGTACATTAATTATTAAAATAATAGTAAAAATTTAAGAAAAAAAAAATGGATTTTTTGTTTTTTCTGTATGTGCTAAAACAAAAAATGATTTTTTACTTTAAGATTAACAAAACAAAAAAAAAATAACTGATAATAAATGTATATTTAAATATTTAATGTAAATAATATATTTTATGTACAATTTGCACATTTTTATACACACAAACACACAATTCCAAAAAGATTAGATTAGTTACTTTTTTTTTTTTAAATAAGTTGTTCATAATAAACTGTAATTATTCTGAATCAATTCTAGTCTTCACTTGTAATAAAGAGTGAATATCATTAAATCTGTAAATGACTCAAACAATTTATTTAAATTTTTTAAATTACAACCAAAATGCAAATAAAACAAAATTGCTTTTGGTTCAACGTTGCAAAATATTATGCATGTTGCTCCCATTTATTTTTCATTAAATTTTTAATTTGTATTTTTTACCTGTTCCTTACTATTACAGTACAAATTTTCAATAAAATTGTGAGAATAAAAAATTTAAAAAAAAAATTGAATTGAATGAGGAAAAAAAATATTGTTAAATTAAAAAACAAAATTTCATCATTTTCCAAAAATGATTTCCTCTTCAGGATATTTTTCCAAAATTTTCTTTATTTAAATGCTTTTATTGTATATTTTTGCTTTATTTACGAATTTTAAAAATTCATTAGACACAAAATTAAAAATATTTCTTTCACGTAAAATTTCAAAGCCTTAAATCCGATATACTTGTAATGATCTTGAAATAAAAAAAAAAAACTGCAAACTATTTCTTTCTTTTGCTTCCTAAAACAAAAAAATTTTTTTAATGTTAAATAAATCGAGGAATTTAAATAAGTCTTATGGCCTATAACCTCATTTTTAATATTATTTTTATATATTTAACTACACCGAAACTATATTTTTCGATACGAAATAAAATTCTTGATAAATTTTTCAATTATACCAAATTATGTGTTTATGTTTTTTTTTTAATTTTAAAGAAAGGTATTATAAATATATTTAAAATTTAAAAAATATATATATATATGTATGTATGCATGTATAATTGTAATAGCAATTTTTGAAACAGAAAGCTCACTTTTAATTTTAAAATTTGTTATACTTTTTTCTTACGGACCTATATTCTATTCATATGTACACTTGTGTATCAAAGGAATATGTATGTATGTATATGATTGTACATGTGATATTGTATTTTAAGTGAGCTTAAAAATTGCATTTCTTAAAGTATATAGAAAACAATTTTAATTTTTAAGAATTTATAATACACATACAAATTTATATTAAAATATTTTAAATATAATTGTATTTAAAAAGAAAAATTATACAGATTCAAATTTAGTTTTAAGTTTAAATTTTTTAAAAATTTTAAAATAAATAAAAATATTTAATTGTGAAAGAGAAAAAAAATTGTAATATTTTATATAAATTTAAAAACTGTTATTGGTATAAAAAATCTTACTTTTTATAAATTTAATTAAAAAAAAAAAACAAATTAATTGATAATATTGAATTTATTTGTCAAAAAGTAAATAAATTTTAAATTTTTTATCGTATACTAAAACCTAAATATTAAATAATTGAAATTTTTCAGTTAAATCTTTTATTGTTAATATTTTAGAAGTGATCTCTTTTATTTACTTTTTGACATAATATTGAAAATATTAAAAAAAAATCTTTATAAAAAATTTTTTTATAATTTATATAAATAATTTTCTCAATTATACGAACTATGTTCGAATAACGAAATATAATATTCAAATTGTATTTTAATAACATTTTTACTAAATTATATTTGAACTTAGTTTAGGGTTGAAAGTTAGGCATTTTGGTTTTAAAAAATTACTGATATTGTAGGTAAAAAGTATTAACTAAGAAAATTTTAATTAATATAAAATCAATATTCAAGTGACTCGTCATATCGCGAAAAAAAATATAATACAAAATTGAATCCATCAATTTTCGATAAACAAAATTTAGAAACAAAAAAAAAAAAGAAAATTTAATTTTTATTTAAAAAATAAAATTTTTTTAACTTCAATCACAGGACAGATATTATAAAATTTTCTTTAAAAATTCTCTGCCCCTCCCCGCCCATTATTTTTATAATTTTTTCACATAATTACGTATATAGTACATTTTAACAATTGTTTACTGACAGCGCAACAATTTCTTGAAATTTTCTGTATAACATTTATTTAATAAAAGCTTTTAAAATTTATACCAAAATTAATCAAATCAACATAATTATGAACAAAAATATTGCATATTATATAAATTGAAATCCTTAGATTAAAAAAATATTTACATAAACCTAAAAAAAAAATCCCTGACATTAATTCCTCACCTGAAAAAAAAGCTTTAATTCTTGGTTCCCTTTGTTTTATTTTGTAAAGAAAAAAATAGATATTAATTATATTTTTTAGAAAAAAAAAACAATAACACTAAAAATAAAAATTAAAATTGTATTCCGTTGTAAATTTTCAGCCCCTCAGGAGTCGGCTTTGTTATACTCGCAGTGTCCTATACTTATGAACGGCGTAATATATGTTATTAGGTAAAACATAAAATGTGAGAATATTATTCAATTATGTATACAATAAACTGATTTTAAATATTATTTCCATTTAATTTTTTTTTTTTTGGTTCATTTTTATTTTATTTAATATGGCATTGTGTGCATTGCGCTTTCAGTAAAGTGTTAAAAAGATTTATATAATATAATCTTGTTATTTATGTGATACTTAAAGTCTTAGAATATATAAATTATGCTTAAAACATTTTGGTTTTCAAAAAAAAAAAAAGCGTAAAAGTAAATTTTAAAATTTTTAAAATTTTCGAAATTATAATTTATATTTCGAGTAAAAACATTAAGATTTACAAAATATATAATTCTATATATACAATGCATATAGTTTATTCGAGTATTGTTATTTTTTTTCGAAAATTACTTTTTGAATATAATTATTTACCTTTATTATGCTTTTCTTTTAAAAATCCCTTTTTATTAATTAATACACCAAGGTTGCGGTTTGTGTCACTATAATTGGAATCAAAACCTAGAAATATACAAACAAAAATAAAGTTTGTTTTGAAATGTAATAAAAAGTAATAAAGTACATAAGTATTTTACATATTTTAGAAAAAATAAATTTTGAAGTTATATTTGCTTTTATATTACGAACATTATAATATAACAACTAAACTAATACCTACCTTTTTTAAATTTGTTTCCAAATTAGTTATGATTATATAACTAATTTTTTTCTTCCTATTACAAATGGTATAAATCAATAAAAATTTAATCAAATTTCAAATTTTTGTACAGCAATTTGTTTCTCAGCAAAAGTCTTTTCATAATTTCTTCAAAATTTATATTACATCTATGTATTGAAAATTTTTTTTTCTTATCTTATATGCTATCAATTATTTTCAATGTTTATACAATATATTACAATTAATTAATAATTGAATAATACTAACAAATTATAAACCACAAAAATAAAAGTAATTTAACCATTTTTAAGTTAAAAATCTCAAAATGGGATTCATTTATTCTGAATTAATGCAATTTCAACAACAAAAAAATTAAATAAATTCAAATTGGCACGGATTGAAGTATACCTTGAGTGTAGTAACATTACTTAAATACTATTATAATGCATTATTACATTTATGTTTTCAGATATTTATCCTACAATAATAAATATACTATACAAAGGTTCTTTAAAAAAAAACTATTTTTTTTGTAATAAACAATATTTTACGCTAAAAAGAAATAAGAGCAGAATGACATTAAATTAAATTTGGGGCAATATCATTTATTGCAATTCGTACAAACAATTTGTAAATTATTATAGTTTTTCATTAAAAAATTTGATATTCAATTAAGTATTCACAATCATAAAATACACATTTGGTTTACATTATAAATTTAATATTAAAAATTAGAAATTAAATAATTTCTATTCAATTAAAACATTCAATTTCCTTCTAATCAAAAAATTTCATTTTAAAAATATTGATTTAAATTTCAAAATTTATTTAGAAATTCTATTAATTAAACATTAAACTTTGTTAAAAGAAAATTGGAAATTCAAAAAAAAATTAAATATATAATTATTCTTTACATGTGTATATTGCATTGACATAAAATATACTGTACTATGAACTATTCATGTTCCCTTTACATATATGTATATATTTTATATATAAAATTTTTGGAGTTAAAACTTAAAACAATTCTGTTCTTATATTCAAAATATTTAACAAAGATACACATAAATAATATATTAATAACTATTATACGATTATAAAAAAAAAAAAGTAGTAGCTTTTCGCTATATATTCAGATTTTATACTTATATTAGCTGATGATAATCTTTTTTTAAATGATAATATATAATAAAATAAAAATTATAATATATGGAGAAATTTAAAAAAAAAAAAACAAATATTTATGTTTCTCTTTTTTTTCTTGATTTTATTTTAGCGCATAATCCAAAACCAATAGAAAAAAAAATTCTAGAAAAGAAAAATTTAAAATAGAGCTGCGATGTGAAATTATACAATAAAATATTTAAAATCAGATATGATTTTCACCTAAACTATAAATTTAAAAATTTGCACACAAAATATATATATATATATATATATAAAATTACACAGAAAAACAAATGCATACATATATTTAGAACAAGAAAAAGTGCTTAAATTTCATGTAGTTGTCAACATTTTATATACAATAATTAATATACATGCACACATATACACAGACACATATACATATATAGAGCGCAATTGAGTTACAAAATTGAATAATTATTGTTATCAAGGATAATTTTCAACTCCTTTCATATATAAAACAAATACATATATATAGATACAGAAAAAACATAAAAAATTTGTGAGTCTTAAATTTTATTTATTTTTTTTTTTGAAAATATTTTGTTCCAAAAATTGGTGCTTCTTTTTTACATTCTCAAAGCAAAATAATTATTTATCTGTCCTGCTTTTTCTTCTTCTTTTTTTTTTTTCTTAGTATAAAACTCTTCCTTATTACATACTTTATATTATCTTCAGTAATTTTTTTTATTTTGTATATGAATATAGAGCTTCAAATAGCTTTTGCACTGTCTTGAAGAAACCTAAAATAAAAAAAAAATTATTATATAATTAGTATTTTCAAAATATGATGAAGTTTTCGGAAAAAATAATAATAGGCGAAAAAAAAAATTATAAAAATTTTGTAAAAGTAAAAAAAAAATATATTTTTATATATATATACCAAAATGCCTGACTTATCTTATTATTTAAGATGCTATATACATAAAAAAAATCTATATAGTTTCCTCCTTTTTAGTTTTAGCCTAAAGGATTAAATTTATGTACTTTAATATTATTTTAATTTGTAATTTTTTTTTTTTGTTTTTGATTGGTGTGATTTTCTCATGTACTCGTATAATAATTTTTGTCTTTCGCTTTTTAAATCTATATGAAAACAAAAATAACACAAAACTAATACAATAATTATGTTTACTTTTCAAATTAGAAACCTAAATAACCCCTTCTATTATTTTACTTACAATTTTGTTATTTTTTTTTTGTTTTTATTTTTCTATCCAATAACTCAAAATTTTAATATTAAATTATTAAGAAAAATTTTTTAAAATGGTGTGTCTGTTGCTTATTTCTGTTACTAATTATTATATTATCCTATTAATTTTCATTTCGATGTATTCAATATTTGTAATATATTAAAAAATGGAGGGGTTGGGATACTATAAATATATACAAAAGTTCCAAATTAAATTTTTTTTTATTAATATTCAAAGGGTCGCAGACATAGAATTTAAAATGCCGCTTATAATGAATTTTAAATATTAAAATTGATTTCAATTCTAAAAACTAAAAAAATTTTGCAACAGTATCCACCAAACACTTAAAGTATCACGTCTTGAAGAATATATGCTTATATTATAATTTAAGTAAATTTCAATTAAAAACTTTAATTAATTTATTTTCATTTGGTTAGAAAATTTTCATTAATTATTAAAATCGTTTAAGATTTATTTTCGAAATTAACCAAAAATATTGAAATTTTTTAGTCAAATAAAAATATTATTACGAGTATTTTATTGATAAACCGAAATATATGTGATGTAAATTGTATATTAATACACATTAATTTTTAATAACAAAGGCGGCATTTTAAATTTGAACGTCATTATACAAGTGGATTTATCTAATTTCAATAAAACGTGTTATTATTTTCTTACAAAATTTACATGATTCGTTTTACAATTTACAATTTCACTTTAGTAAGTTAATGTTCGATTATGTAACACTTTCATTATGACAAACAAATGAAAACGTAAATGCTTTTCTACTTGTTAAAAACATTAAAAAAAACTATTATTTTGTGAAAATTCCAGTGAGAAAAGAACAAAAATCAAAAATATTGTAAAAAAAATTATATATTACGTTAAATATAAAGTACAATCAAAGTAAAAAAAAATATTTATATAAAAATTAAAAAATAATTTTTGATAATAGAACAGCTTTTTTGTTATCGTTGAATCGCTTAGAAATAAGAAAATTGGTCAGAAAAAAATTTTGTTTTTTATTAAAAACTTTAATTCTTTTTTAATGAAAGTATCCATTTAAAAAATAAAATAAAATTAGTTTAAATATAAATAAATATTATAAAACTGAAATTTCTAATATTACGGAATACATCATATAAATATATATAAATTCATTCATTCACATATATACATTATATATATATCTAACTTATATTATAGAATATTATATTAAAACCTCCCTTAACTTTAAAAAAAAAATATAATTTTGCGGCGGCACTAATTTGATTAATATTTTAATTTTATATAAATGATATTTACATAATAAAAAAAACATTTAATATTTATATATTTATATATTTTTTATAAATTTTAATTAATTAATTACTAAATTTTTTATTATTTTTAATATAAATTAATAATATTTTGATATTAATACTTTTTTTTCCTTCTACGTCTTTTTATTTTCATTCATTTTCCCTTTTTGTTAAAAAATGCATTTTTAAAATACAGTTACTGGACACCCTCCCGGTGTGCCAAGATTTTAATAGATCTATGTGCAGTCGTATAAATTGTAGATTTGTTCATTTAATGGAACGTAAGTATATTATTAAATATTTATATTTAAAAAATTTTTCTTTTAATTTTCTATTCATAAAAAAATTTTTATTGTGGAAACATTATTAATTAAAATATATAACGGTTCTGTATATTTTCTCTAATAATATTATTATTCAATAATTTTCTATATATATTCTCAAATTCGATTTCATATTCGATCAATATCGAATTATATCATTATTCGATATTTTAAAATTTTATTTTTTTTTTAAATTTCATTTTAACTTGGAAATTTAGTCAATCATATTATTATAATAAAAATATTAAATTAAATGTAAAAATTAACAGTTATGCTTAGTTAAGAAATTTTAATATACGTAATTCAAAGAAAGATTTCATATCCATATTCAAAGAATTATTTACCAAATTTTTAGTTCTAAATTTTCTAGTACGTAGTTAATATAAAACCTTTTCAACTTTTATACAAATACATACTTACATTTTTATTTCTAATTTTCAGATGATAAGGTTGAAGTATGTGATCAAAGAGTGGCTGTGTGTCGTGATCATGCAAATGGTCTTTGCAAACGTAAATTATGTAAATATTATCACATACCAATTGTATTACCACCAGCAAATATAATGGCTACAGTATTTAGAACTCAAAATTGTGTATTAGCATCAACATCATCTTCGACATCATCTACAAGTACATTAACAGCATCATCAATAAATTCTGCTTTATTATCAAAATCAACTATTCCCGTTTCAACAATCACTTCGACATTACTATCTACAAAAAATACAATTACCAATACAAATTGTAAGATTAATTCAACTATTTCGCAAAGTAATAGCAGCAATATATATATTAATAATTATAATAAAAATAATAATAACAGTAATAATTATAGCAAAAATAATAATATTAATAATGATGATAATAATAATATTAATAAAAATACTTCTATTCTTGCTGAAGTCAGTAATAATGATCCATCCAATATGAATATTAATAACAGCAGTATTATTACTGATAATAATAACAGTAATGTAATTAATAATAATAATATTAATAATAATTATAACAACAATAATAACAATAATAATAATAATGATAATAATAATAACAATAATAATAGTAACAATGATAATAATGAAAATGGTACTAAAATCAATATTAATATTAATGATGATGACAAAAATAACGATATTATTGAAAACAATAGCCACATAAATAAACATAATGATAAAAACATCAGTAATGATAGTAAGAATGATAAGCATAACATTAGTAATGATAATAAAAATACAGATAATATAAATTGTATTAGTAATAGTAGCTGCATTGAAAACTATATTAAAACTCACAATTCCAGTAATGAAAATAACAATAATAGTAGTACTAATAATAAAAATTTAGAAAATATTAATAGTAACATCAATCATATAAAAAACAATGATAATGAGATGAAGATTGAAACAAGTATCAATAGTAGTAATGATAATAAAAGTATTCCTATTAAACAAAATATCATTAACAAGGATAATAATTTTAAAAACAATATTATTAATTATAACAGTAATAACAGTAACAATAGTAGTTCACTCTACAATACAAATAATAATGACAGTAAAAATAATAGCAACAACTATAAATTAGTCAGCAATAATAAAAATAATTATAATATAAATAATATTAATAATTATAATAAAATTTTAGATATGAATTCCAAGGTACATATTGTAAAACCAGCTATAATCAGGAAACCGATAACGAATTCAGTACCAGCAATATCAGCAGCTATTGAAAATTTTGTTACATCTCCTACAAAAAGTCAGCCAAGATTTAATAATCAGTATTTTTTAAAATCCGCTCCAACAACAACAATAACAGCACCAACAAACTCAACACACTTATTAAAAAATTCAACTAGTTCTCTTACTACTTTATTAAACAACAATATAAGAAACAGTAATAAAAATAGTACTAACAAAATTGCCAACAATAACGATAGTACCAATCTAATACCAAAAACATCTCAAGTCAACGTATTAAATAGCGGTGCTTTTCAGCAATATTATTGGCCATCATTCAATAATAATAACGCCGTCAACGGGATATTATCTGATTATACAATAGCAGAAAATAATACACCAAATTTTCTTCATAAAAATTTTCAATTTTCTAATACATATAATAATAAAATTATTTCTAATTCAAATATTCATTCGCAAGCACTTTCAGTTACATCACAAAAAATAAATGAAAATTCGCATACATTAGAAAATTATTGTAGTGAAAATTTATTTCCACAAAATACATCAAATTTTCCTTCAAATATTGGAATTTATTCATCTCACTTACCAATACATCATAATACTGGTTTAACAAATGTATTATTAACACCAGCAACAGCAGGCTCAACAGCGGCGACAATAACTTCACCAAATGTTACTATTCTTCAAAATTGTGTTGATAATAATACAATTAGCTTTCCAAATAACGTAGCCAACACATTTGGTAATATAAGTAAATCAACAATATCGAAAGCTTCTAATAAAAACTTTTCTACATCGTAAATATGTGCAAAATTAATAACTTATAAACATATTTACAATATATAGTTAAAAAAAAAAACAAAGTATTTTTCGAAATTAATTTTAAAAATCTCATTTTTAATTAACTATTTTTAATATTAAATAATTGACAATATAAAAATGTTTTCAGTTTTCAACTGCAAAATATATATACAATATATAACTTTATATTATATATGTATGTTTTCAATATAATTTAACAAAATAATTCATTTAAATTAAATTTAGTTAACTAATGTATAATGTAAATGAAAATCTCTATTTTGATTTTTAAATTGAATTTCGAAAAATTGCAAATTTTATTCCAAACTTAAAATAAAGCAAAGAAAGAATAAAACTTTTTTTAAAAAATTTATGTTGTTTATACTTAAAATTTAAAAATGACACACATCCACATTGTAAACATAAAATATATTTAGATAAGAATTTGCAAATATTTATTCAATAAAATAATATATATATACAAAACATAAAAAACACACCAATATACTAAATAAAACAAAAATAACACAAAAAAAATGTATTGATTAGACAAAATTATAAAATTATGTACACTTTATTAAATCCAGAAAAATAATTAAATTGTAAGCACTTAACTATAAATACTAAAAATAATTACATGTATATATATATATATATATATATATATATATATATATATATATATATATTTATATATTTATATATATATATATATATATATCCTCATAAATTTATAAAATAAAAGTGAATAAAAAAAACCTTTGATTATATATTTATCACCAAAAAACAATGAAAATATGTGAAATAAATTTGTAATTATATCCCTTTGGTAAAATTTAAAATAATTAAAAACATTTGAGAAAGAAAGGTGAAAAAAAGTTAAACTTAAGAATGGTACTCGTAAAATGTAATAGAAATGTTTTATGATTAAAAAGAACATTTCTTCAAAATAAAAATCTAAAAAATTAATAAATTCTAACGTAAGTTAATTTTTTTTTATTGTTTGAATTAAAATAAATCAAATAATATATATATATATATATATATATATATATATATATTATATAATATATTAAATATAAATGTGAAAGAACAAGAAAACAAACTAATATTTGTATAATAATAATAAAATTTAAAGAAAAAATATAAATGATTGAAAATATGAAAGATTTAAAGAATATGAAAATCAAACTAAAAAATTAAACTAGGTATAATAAAAAAAAAAACAAATACAGACATTTATTAAAGTTCAGATAAAGCTTTACTAAGAACACCTTTTATATATTTTACAACACTTCACCCATATTCACCTATATTCACTCATATTCTCACAATTGAAGTGATGAGATATTTTTCAAAAATTTTGTAATTTTCTAAATAAAATTAATTTCGAATTTCAATATATTTTATACTGAAAACCTCAATACTTTTGAGTAATATCAAATTATTTCAAGCAAATAACAGAAGTGATAAAATATAAATATGGTTGTGTAATTTGACTTGAATATAGGAAAATATTTATTTATACTATATGTTTTAATTGAATTTAATTTAAAATATAGTTTTTCGATTTATATTAATATAAAATATAATAAAATTTATATAAAGAAAATAAGTTATTTTCAACATCAAAATGATATTTTCATATTTTGGGCTAGAAACGTGAATATTATTCGTTTTCTAAATTGAAAAATTGTAGTAATATTGCATTAAATGCAAAGTTCAGATTATGAGCTTTAATTATTGTTAATTCGTGTAATTAACACTACAATTTTTGACATTATATTTTTAAAAAATTACTTCATTTCATATTTTAAAAAATTTTGTTGAAATTATAAACCGCAATCATTTTAATTTTTTTTTTATTCTGTTTCTATTTCCGTTTCTGTTTCAGTACGAACATCCAAAATTCTATAGTTAAGCTTTATCAAAAACTAAATACATATATATACTTATTAAATAAAATATACCTAAATTAATTATTTTGATAATTTTACTTTAAAAAAAAATCACTTTATAACGATAAAAATACAAAAAAATATATATTATAATATTAACTTATTATATAGATATAATTAAATTTACGTATATATATATATATATTTATTTATGTGTATTTATATTTACGTGTACATATATATATATATATATATATATATATATATATGTGTATATATATATCAATATTCTAATCACATACTTTCATTATAAACGTTCGATAAAATACTAGGGATCTTATTTTTATAAGATCAAAAATTCAAAAAAAAAAAAATGTCAAACAAAAAAAAAAAATAAAGTAAAATACTAAAAAAAATATTTTTAAAAAATTATGTAAATCAAAAAAAAAACTCGAAAATTTTTTAAAAAAAAATTTTCAGTCACAAAAAAATATACACTTTAAAATTTAAACGTGTTTAAATAAAAAAATACAAAAAACAAAAATCATTATTGCATTAAAATTATATTCTATTAACAATAAAATAGATGAAAATAGTGTTCCATATGAATTAAATTAAATAAAATAATATTTAAAAAAAGAAAAGAAAACATAGTTGGTTAAAAGTCAAAACAAAAATAATGAAAATTAAATTTTTTTTTTTCGTTTTCTTTTAATTTTATTAATTATAAATAATTTTGATTTTTTATGCGTTTTATAATTTCTTTTTGTTTAAATTTAAGTTTTTTTTTATTGTTTCTTTAATTTAAATTATTTTTATGTTAGTTTGATTTTTCTTTTATTTCGAAAATTTAATTTTAAATATTCTAAATATTAAAATATTATACAAAATAAGAAAAAAAACTCTTTTACTACAAAAAAAACTAAAATACAGATATGACAAAAAAAAAAAAGAATAAAAAGTTGTACTATTAAATCATATTTAAAACAAATAAAAAAAAAATATCACGTCCTATTTTTGCAACGATTAAAAATTAATAAAAATATTTAAAAAAATAAATGTAAAACGATATTTACTATTAATTACACACAAAAAAAGAAACTTTAAACTATAAGGTATAAAAAACTCTCTAGAATGAGATTAATTTTATTTTATTTTTTTTTAATTTCATAACAATTAATTATATATACTCTCTCTGTAACAAAGCATTAGTAAAAAAAAAACTGACATATTAAAATTATTGAATTTAATTTAAATTACGAGATAAAAATAAGAATTAAAAACTTAGCCTATTACACAAACAAATATTTAAAAAATATAGCGAATTCAACATTAAAATAACCAAAAAATTACTAAAATATTATAAGAAAATTTTTACAAATCATATTATTATAATTAAAAACAAAATTTTCTATTTGCTCTTGAATTATTTTTTTTTTTATTAAATTCTACTTAAATCTTAAGTTAAAGTAACCTTAAATATGGGCGATAAATGAAAGTTATTATAAATTAAAGTGGCCATTTCCGAGTATATCAAAGATTTGACGATCATGTCCATAACATGATTTGCTTGATTTTACAAATTCCAATAATTTGCAATTGACATTATAAACATTATTTTTAATATTATCATCTCCTTATTCGGCATTTCTTTGTTACTACAAAAAAAAAATTAATAAGCTATTTTCACTTACAAATTTTAAATAAAATTACTTGTTTTACTCATCAAATTTTGTCATTTATAAAAATAACTTCTGCATCATGTACATTATGCCTCATTGAAATTCATGGCCTATGTCAGTTGCTCGCATTTAATGTATTAGAAAGCGACCATCACTTTTCTTTCTAAATTGAAAATTCTTAATTAAATTTTCCTTTCTTGTTTTTTAATTAAATTTTAACTTAACCTCATTATTTAATTAATTATACTTAACCTCATTTAATACGGTATTAAAATCTTGAATATTTTTTTGTTTTTCAAAACACCAGAAAAAAAGAAACTCGTTATTATTTATTTATTATGTAACACTATTGGATTTACTTAAAATATATAAGTCTTTATTAAGAAAAACATAAATAAGAATGTTTCGTTTGATTTACAAAATGCTCGGAAAATTCTTAATTGGCCAAATAATAAAACAAAAGAAATAACAATCCAAATCAAGCACTACAATCATTTAAATAAATTTAAACATTTTTAAATTTCAAATAACCTACTTTCATATTACATTTTATTTTCAAACATTTTTTCTATCAGAGCTAATGAAATATCATTTTAATAATAATTTTACTGTTTTGGATAAAATAAATTAAATTGATGTCTCAAAAAACAATTTTTTTTTCCTAAAAAAAAAAACAAACAAAAAACGCTTAATATCTTGATATTCATGTCACCTACACCCAAATACAATCAAAATTATTATTTCCAAATACCTTCAAATTTAACAACAAAAAAAATACATATGTAATTTAAATATTAAATAAATTAAAATTTAACTATGAAAAAACCGATTATTAAAACTTTTTTTACTATATTATAAAAATTATTTCAAAATTCAAAAAAAAAAAAAAATTAAAAAAATATTGAAATTGAAATAAAAGAAAAATATATAATTGTATGTATTACATAAATATTACCTTAAAAGAAGAAAAGAAAAAAATTAATTTTATTAAAATAAAAAAAAAAGGAAAAAAACTCATAGTTTCATCATATGCTAAAAATGTGATTTTTTTTATAAAATAAAATATTTAATTAATTTATTTGAAATCAACATAAATTAATTTTACAATTATAAAAAAATAATATTTCTTAAATTTGTAACAAACAAATAACACTCACATATACTAAATTAAAGTTGAACAGTATCTAAACTCACTCACACACCAAAATAATATTAGAGCTACGTTTCTATTTTATTACAATTAAATTACAAAAAAAAAAACTTTTCAAATATTATTAGAAAATTAAAAAAACTAATTTATAAACTTTCTAACAATGAAACACCATTAAAATAATTAAAAACACATTTTAATAAAACTATAAATAATTATTAAGAAGACCTGAACACAAAAACAAAGAAAAAACTCAAATAAATTTCATTAAACAAATGATCATTTTAAATTTAAATACACAAGTTTTGAAAAAGAATTTCTAAATATTCTTACGATTTAATATAAAGTGAATTTATTTAAAAAATATTATCCTTGAGTTTGTTTGCATAACCTCATGAAGCATAAATTGACTTTCTTTTTCTAAGAGATCTATATAAACCTGTCTAAAATAAACTTTGAAATTGAATTTTCACATACAAACAGTTTGTTCCAAATTGTATTCAAGCAATTAATTCAGAAACAAAATGTTTATTTTTGTATAACAAATAAAACACAAAATTACGAAAGATCTAAAAAACTATTATAAAATTTATTTTTTAATAATTTCATTACTATTCATATTCAAAAGATTCTTGTGTTTTAAAAGGCACGCATATTATACAACACATTTTCATCTTAAACACTCTAAAAAACAACATATAAAGCAAACAAATTATTTTCATCAAATTTTTATTTAATTTCCAGTAGAG